TTCATTCTGTTCTGGTTGAATGTTTTCTTCCTTCTGGTCCAAATTGTTGATTTGAGTCCTGGTTTCCCTCCCATCACTGTTGGTTCCCTGTGCATTTTCTTTTATTTCACTTTGCATAGCCTTCACTTCTTCCTCTATTTTGTGTCTGTACTCAACCACTCCTGTGAGCATCCTGATTACTGGTGTTTTGAACTCTGTATCTGACAGGTTGGCTATCTCTTTGTCACTCAGGTCTATTTTTTTTTCTGGAGGTTTGATCTGTTCTTTCATTTGAGCCATATTTTTTTGTCTTGGCACACCTGTTAGGTAGTAAGGGGCGGAGCCTTAGGTATTTGTCAGGGCGGGGCAACTGACATCACTGCGTTGTGGCTCTGTATGTGGGGGAGGGGTCCAAGAGAGAACAGTGCTGCTTGCTCGGCTCTTTGCTGGCTTTCAGTCACTTCCACCGCTACCTACAAGCAACTTGGGGTAGGACCTCCTGCTGCTAATTCCCAGGTGGGTAAGTTTGTGTACATTCTAGGACTCTGTGGGTCTCTCCAATGAACTCTCCTATGAGGCTGGGAGTTTCTCCTGCTGCTGTCACCCCCACAGATTTTTACAGTCAGAGGTTTTGAGGCTTTATTTCCTCACATTGGAACCCTGGGTTGTGCAGTCTGTCTCGCTCCCCAGTTGTCCCTCTCATTTATTCAAACCCAAATGTGGGACTGCCAGGTCCACCAGCTGCCACCTTGCTGTGAGTCCTCTCCACCCGGCTGCCCATCCATGCTCCTGCTACTGATGTGGATGAATGTTTCTTCCTTAACTCCTTGGTTGTCGGACTTCCATACAGTTTGATTTTCTGGCACTTCTGGTTATTTTTTGTTTTTAAATTTATTGTTGTCCTTCTTTTGGTTGTGCGAGGAGGCAAAGTGTACCTACCTATGCCTCCATCTTGGCCAAAAGTCAATCACTCATCTACTTTAAGAAATATTTTTAACTAACAAAACGAACAAGCAAGCAAAATATAACCAAAGACATTGAAATTGAGAACAGGCTGACAGTGAACAGAGGGGAGAGGGGAGGGAATTTCAGGGGGAAAGGGTGAAGGGTTTACAGGAACAATTATGAGGGACACATGGACAACACAGCGAGGTGGAACAAGGGAAGGAGGTGAGGAGGGCTGGAGGGGAAAGACAAAAAACTGTACTTGAATAAAAAAAATGTTTAAAAAAGAAACATTTTTACCTAATGGGATTTTACACTTGAACCGGGGACCCTCGTGGTACAAGTACAGGTCAGCCTGCTCACATGCATGCATTCATTAATTCCATGGCTGTGTGAATTCCACTATGTGTTCAGGAGACCCAGAAAGGTTTTAGAGTTGAGCAGGAAATTTTAAGTTAGCTGGCTCAAATTTAGTTTCCTCCCTGTGTGACAGAGTTCCAGTCATGTCAATCCCTCATCTCTTGGATGAGTTTACTAAATAGTTAAGAAAACAAGACATACGTGTGAAAAGTGACCTATTAACACAAAGTGGCAGAGCCTTTGTTCAAAGGAGGGATACAGGTAAGGAATGGGAGGACACAGCTTGGGAATGTGGCACCACCAGGCCTCAGGCCAGGCATAGGGCCCCCTGACGAGGCCTGGAAATCCCCATTAGCACCACCAGCTCAGGCAGAAAAAGATGGAGATTCCAAGTTTGAGGTGGAAGGAGGGTGAATAAACATCAAGCCTGGAGAATCTCCCTGACCTTGAAGCCCACCTTGTGTTCAGAAGGCTGACAGTGGAAAGGGCACTGGTGGCCCAGGTGCTGTCACAAAGCAGTGATCCTGTGTTGAGCAGGTGCCTATGACAGGTGTGTGGCAGGTAACTTCAGGGAGGTAAGGGAGCGGTTGTAGGAAAATCATGGAACCAGTGGGAAGAGCAAGCATGTGTGACATGGGCAGCGACCCCTGCACAGCGGACAGGGAGGCAAGTGCGCACCGGTGTGAGACGATAGGAGTGACACAGGAGCAGTTGGGCAGACAGGTGAGCTTTCCCTCCAAAGAGCCAGATGTTTTGGAGCCATAGTCCCCCAGCCTAGGGAGGTCCACAGAGGCCTCATGTCCTTGGGGCCCTGTCAGACCTTCTCTGACCTCCAGAGAAACCCTCCTTATAGGACAGGGAAGGGTGCACCTGTGACACATACCCCCAGGCTTGGAAAGGACAGCCCAGCAGTGCCCTCAGAGCCAAAGAAAGAAGACAGAAGGGGAGGGCACCGTTGTGGTCCACCTGTGTTTCCCTTGGGCTCTGGACACATCCTGGGCTCTGTCTCCAGGAACCAGGGAGCTGGTGGGTGTCTGCTGCCTTGGACTGCTTCCGCTACCCCGGGATGGAGTGCCGCACAGACTTCCTCCCCATCTCCACTCCGGGCCACAGGGTCCCTCCTATCACTGAGCCCCTCACCCAGACCTTCTCCAAGTCTTCACCCAGTCCCCAAAGCATGTGTACACACACCCCTCTCCCAGCTGGGTATCCGCCATACCCACTCAAGGCCCACACAGACCCAGTGCTCACACACCATGCAAAGGCAGGTCCTCCAGAGCTGTACTGGTGGGAGGTTACCTGGGACCTGGGCACTCCCACACTCCCAGACCCACGCTGAGATCCCAGCCTGAGGCCCCCCTGGTACCCTTCACAGGCTGAGCCCTCTCCCATCCCACAGCCCTGGCCCTTCTCAGAGCTGGAACCCAGCCTCAGGGATGGCTCAAATTTAGTTTCCTCCCTGTGTGACAGAGGGTTCCAGTCATGTCAATCCCTCTTCTCTTGGATGAGTTTACTAAATAGTTAAGAAAATAAGACATGCTGAGCAGAGCCCCACACACCACCATTCTTATCCCAACCACCACTGGGGCTGGCCCACCGACATCGAGTCATTCCTTTGCCCCCATTGCTCTCCGGACCTTATGCTGTGGATTCCCATGCCCAGCCCCTCCCAGCTCCCATAAATCACTGCCAAACTGCCCAGCCATGCCTAGCCCCTCAGGAGCTAGGGACTCCAACTTACCCGCAGCTCAACAAACTCTCACTGTGTCTCCTGGGCAAAGAGGAGCAGGAAGCACTGACCAGGAGGGATCCATACCATCCCCCACTGCCCTACGACCATGAAGGCACCCCAGGCCAGGACCCACCCCAGAACCCTCCAGGAGTCCACCATCCCACCCCAACACCTGTCTCTCACATACAGGTACACACAGTGGATACAGCACTCTAGAGTCTTGCCTCCAGGCATGAGTACGGAGCTGAAGGCCTAGCACAGGGCACACCAGTGTGTACTGCTTGAGGTACACGTGCACATACTTGATGCACTGTGTGTGTACTACTCTACTCGAGTAAACCCCAGGTCTTGAGCCTTTATGTCCCACCCGTGGTTCCTTTATTGGACTTGCAAGCCAATGGGCGGTGGGTTCCTAAGTCTACACCTTAAAGGCCAGGGCAGGGTCTGCCTTAAGCTATGGTACCAACCACATGCCAGGCACTGGGGAGACCCAGGCAGACCCTGACCTGGACAGCACACCATCTAGTGAGGAGATGGACCTCAAGAAAATAAGTACTTTTATTCTGATACATGAAAGCACAGCAGTGATTATAGACACAGTTAGAAGTGTCACCAGGTACTGACATCAGGGGAGACATTCTAGGTGCAGGGGGATTTGGCACCCAGAGTTAGAGGATCATGGGAAATCTATCTGGCTTGGAAGCAGCTAAGACAGCTCCCTCAGTCTCAACCCCTAAAATGGACTAGAAAATGCTGCTTTTGGAAAGTGAGCTTGGAGAGCAGAGATCCAAAATTCTGGTAGTTTGGTGAAGTGTAATAACTGGGAGTCTGGCTTACTTGCGCAACTGAGACCTGAAGGATCTGACCAGGAAGTAAAGCACTAGGCAGGGAGTGGGCCAGGCAGAGGGAACTGCATGTGCAAAGGCTCTGTGGTCAGAGGGATAGTGGCAGTCAGCAGTCCTGACAGAAGGCAATACGGGCCCTGGAGCTCAGAGAGAAAGGGCGACATGTGGCCAGAGATGCGCACACTGCCCGCAGTGTCATGCATTCCCTTGCCTCTGACTTTTGACAAAGTATGGCACATGAACACAGCCCCGCTGGCTGGGGAGGCATGGTGACCAGGGTGGAGCAGGAAGATCCAAGGCCACCTCCACACAAAGGAAGACACAAAGGAAACAGCAGACACAAAGGAAAAAAGAAGGGCTGAATTACCAGCAAGGAGAACCAAGAGCAAAGCAGCTTTGGCACCAGAAGCAAAAAAGAGGACAACCAGAAAAAAACTGTGATAACTGGCTACAGAGCAAAGCAGCCCTGCTTTAAAAAGAGAAAGCCAGAAACAGGCTCCCACTCCTGGGATCTCCTGCTCAAAGAAACCACCCTGATCCTGCTCAAGTTCCCTTCTCCCGAAACATACATTTCTCCCACCCCAGGACCACCTCTGCGTTCAACACTCCTGACAATCACCAATACTCCCGGTACTTGCTTCCTCAGCCCACCAGGGGGCCTCCAAGCTCCAGGCCTGAGCTCAGCTGAACCACACTGGCACCACCTCCCCTCTCATTCATCCCAAAGGGCACTCCCCATAACCTTCTGGTTCCTTTCGCGTGACTCCCAAGAGGGATGGTCCTACAACCAGAGCCCCTACATCTAACAGCGGGGGAAAGAGACGGCAAGAGCAGTAGCCAAGAGAAGGTGCTTCAGGTTCCCACAGGAACAAATAGATTTAAGTCAATATTCCCGGAAAAGCACACTGTGATTCATCATGGTTTGGCCTCTTGCCCGCAGGGCCACCCACACAAGCAACCTCAGCACAGGCTACCAGTGGGAAGTCCAGGCTTTCCAGATGCTGGTGCTGATGTGTCTTTCAAAGAAAAATTTAATCTACATCTCTTCCAGTCACACTTCATTAGGTCACCATTCATAAAGCACCAACAAACAAAACCCCACACTATTATTCTAAATCTGAAAGGCAGACACGTATATCGGGATTTTAGAGACATTTATACAAAAATAGTCAAATTACAATGCTTTTACCACCTGAAAATATGACATACAAATGGACATTTGTGAGCTTCTTATAATTTTCCTAAAAATAACAATGGTGGGCCAAGTTTTAGAAGAAAACCATATTCTTTTAAAGAAAATGAAAATATTCTCAAAGGAAAAACTTAATTTAAGTCAAATCACATGCGTTAGTCCTGGAGCCTGATATAGTGCTTTCCTGCAGCAGAGGTGCTCCCGTGGCGGGAGCAGGTAGCCCCTTCATGGTCTCTCCTCCGAGACTTGCGGTTGGAATTCAACGAGTAAAGGAAGGCTCTTCCCCCCCTCCCCCCCCCACCCCGAGGCTGAAGGATGGGGGATGGGGTGGGAGAAATCCCCAAGCCTGGAGATAGGGATGGGGAAGTGGGGTGGGATCATGGCTGAAAACACCCATTGGAATCCAAGGGGCCAAATCCCGGGGACCACAATGGCCAAAGACAAGCCTCTTTTGCAGGCCCCACACCCTCCTGTGACCCCAGCCAAACAAGGCACACACTGGTGGGCAAGACGCCTAATGAGACACGCAAACATGCACACCCTTATGCCAACTGCCGCCCACCAGTCCGCACCCTGCCCGGAGCGCTTTGGAAGGTCCCTGGGCCCTCAGGGGCAGGAAACTGGCTCCACCCAGCATACCCTGCACCTCTACACCCACATCGGTCTGGGTGCCTGCCCCTAAGAAGCTCATGGCAGGTACCGTGGGAGGGAAGGGAAGGGTTGTCTCGGAACAGAAAGGGGGGTTAGGGAGCGGCAAAGCCGGAAGGAAGCGGCTGGAGGTGGCACAGACAGTGAATAAATAGTAGCTTTGCCGTGGGGCCGGCCCCTCGGACAGCAGCTTGGTGGCAATTGCGGGTGGTGGGCGTCAGAGGCGGGGCAGCTGCGCCGCCATGACGCAAAGCTCCGACCAGGACCCGGGTCACCCATCCCGCCTGCCCTCACACGCACTCACACACACAAACACACACTGCCCCAGGGTCAGGCTCCTGCCCCTGCTCAGAGTTCCGTGACATGCACAGCAGGTGAGGGGAGTGGCCCTGGCCGAAGGCGCCGCAGGTGGCAGCGGCGGCACAGCAAGTGGCCCTCCAGCGGGTAGCAGCGGCGTCCATCCTCCCCGCTCAGCTGAAGCCCACAGTCCTAGGAAAGAACACAGCCCAACCCGTGTGAGTAGGCTCGGGGAACATACTGGTCACCTCGGTCCCCGAGTGTGGGCAGATCAGTAGGGCTCTGTCCAACCTCCAGAGGACTGGGGCTTTTCCTCTTCCAGGGTCAGGGGTCAGGAGCTCAGTATAGGACACAGGAAACTGGGTGCCTCTTAGAGGAGGGAGATGGTGACACAGTCTAGAGTCTTGGAGGGAGGGCTGGGTAGTACATGGGGGCTGGGCATAAAAATGAGATGACCCTGCTCTGGCTGGTGCGTCTCAGTGGATTGAGCACCAGCCTGCAAACCAAAGGGTTGCTGGTTCAATTCCCTGTTGGAGCTGGTGCCTGTGTTGCAGGCCAAGGGGAAAACCGTGGATGTTTCTCTCAAATGTTGATATTTCTCTACCCCTTTCTTCCTCCTTTCCACTTTCTCTAAAGATAAATAATAAAACCTTTTTAAAAAATGAGATGATCCTAACAAACCAGATTACATCTCCCAGGAAGCACAGAAAACTGGAAGAGAGGACAAATGGCGTGAACCATGGAGGCTCCAATATAAAGAAGAAATGGAGATCTGAGCCAAGGAAATGTGAGGGGGAAATACGTGAGGAAAACCAGAAATGGATGGTCCTCAGGGCACAGCAACAGCCCACAAGGGGCTGCTCAGCACGCAGAAAGCTGCTGAGAGGTCAGGGCCCTGACAACTGAGAAGCGTCTCCTGGATCCTGCCATGTGAGGCCCCTGGTGATCCTGGGAAGGAAAGGCTGTTAAATGCCTGACCCCAGTGGCCTTAAGAGATCATGGAAGAGAAGAACTGAGGACATCAAGTAAACAAGGAGTTTTGCTTTGCCTCCCTCATCTTACCACTTTACTAGTGTAGTATATGTTATGGGCTCATTTTTTTAACAAGTTATGTGACTGGCATGTGACCTCTCTAAAACTACTGCCAAGAAGCGTGTGGGGCAGTCATGGGAGGTGTGCTGGCAGAGAGCGTGGGATCGGGCCAGACCAAAGAACTTTCCCCTTCGTTTTGCCTCCCACCCCAAGGAGGCCCCTTTGGTCATGCTCCCACTGCACCCAGGACCAAACTCCTGCCTCGAAGCTGTGATACTTGTTACCCGAAGGCCCTGAGACCAACACCTGCCCCGCCCCCCAGAAGTGATGGAGCTGGGCTGCTGCAGTGGAGCCTCTTGTTCCAAGCCACTCACGTCTCCAGTGTCCTCCCTGTCCTGCCACAGCTTCCTGATGGCCCTGCTACTAACTACCACATGCCAAAGGGGACAAAAAGGGACTTAGAGACCCTAGTTCCCATCCAAGGGTCTAACAGTCCCGAGGCTCTCGGTGTGACCCAACCAGTGCTTGACTTGCTCCTGAACTCCATGATCAACCTTACCCTAGGGATTGTGCTTAGTGATCCCAAAGGGACACCATAGGCTCCAGGACAGCAGAACAGGACGCCATTACTGGGAGAGGGGGACCGTGACCCTCTGCAGGCCAGGATCCTCCTTCCCTGTTCCACCAGCAGGATTCCTGTTCCCACTGGGCCACCTGCCCCACCTGGGCAACCTGGTTCCACATGGACCTTTGATGACTGAAGATTTCTCACTCCTGCTCCTTCCCTGGGCTCTAAAACCCAACTGCTCTCCTAGCTTTTTCTCCTACCTCCTCATTCACCCATTCTCGGCCTCCCCACATATTGCTCTGCCTCCACACATCCCTGCAAATGCTGCTGCTCTTCGGACCATTCTGAACCCCGCTCCTTCCACCCCAGCTCTCCCTGGAAGACCTGTCACTCCCGTGGCTTCAGCAGCCATCTACCAACCCAGGCCAGGCTCCTGCTTCAGGCCACCACAGTAACAAGGACTGGACTTCCCATCCTACCTTTAACAATGAAAAGCCAGGCAAAATATATCAAACAATGGATTCTCAGACCCCAGACCACAGGCAAGGCAGGTCAGTGATCTCTGAGAGAAGGGATAACTTAGTTCACCTAAATAGGTGAACTGTACAACTGCTCCAAGTTATGACCAGGAGAGATTTTCCAGGCTGCCCAAAGAGGGAAGCCTGGTCTCCTTGAATTGAGATCTCAGGCAGGCCAAGGCTATAGAAACCACAGGGCAGAAGATCAGAAAGGACAGTTACATATGTCAATGACTCCCACATACTTGTACCTGGAGTCAAAGTCTGAACCCCAGGCCATCTAGCTGCCACCTGGACACCTCTATTCAGGTGTCTCCAGCTGCCAAAAATAAGAGTATCTTACTCCCCCCTGTTGCCCTCACCTTTCTCCTGGGGTCCTCATGACACCTCCCAACCCCCAAACTCCCACATCCAGTCACTGACCGAATCCAGTTATTTTTACTACCTAACAATCACTCAATTCGATTTATTTCCCTGAGTCCAGGACCAGCCTCCTCAGGGAACCTCAGCTGCCTGCCCCCCTTCCTCCATTCATTCTCTGCACAGTGCTGAGTGCCCATTCTAAAATCTGTCGTGTCACCCTTTCTGGTCATTCTCTACTGCCCTCAGGGTAAGTCCACACTCCTTAGCTCGTGTGGCCTTTTGTCCCCAGCTCCTGCCAACCTCTCCACTGAAACCAAACAACATACCAATCTTCACACCTAAGCACAGTCTGCTTCACCTGCCTGAAAATGCCCTTCTCACTGCCTCCTTGGCTACCTCTCATTCATCTTTCAAATCTTAGCTTCAGTGTTACCTCCTCCAGAAAGCTCACCCTGATTTCCAAGGCCTTCTGTGTACTCTGAAAACTCTCTGTGAAGCAACAATGATCTGTGTAGATAATGCCTGAAGACTTGGCTCTCCCATGGGAGCAGGACTATATTCTACGTGATCTACAATAACCGCCCCCCCCAACTGTAAATCACTAGTAAATATTGACTGAATAGCAAACAGGCTGAGAGAACATTATCTCGGGGACAGGGCTCATGGCGGGGGGAGGACAGGTGGAATGGGTGAGAAACCATGAGGAGGAGATGGGCCCACAGAACACCTCGAGAGGCGGGGACCTGTGGGAAGGGGCACTGTCCCAGCCTCTAGCCTTGCAGGATGGGGTGGGGGGGCAGCAAGCTCACCTCACAGTGGTAACATTCCACGTGGTAGTCTCTGTCCATGGACACCACACGGATGGTTGTCTCACAGCCCTGGAGGAAGAGATGGGGTTCACACATAATAAGCTGGGATGAGAAGTGAACTGTAGGGGGGGGCACAAACCTACATCACGTGCTGGTCACGGTGGGCGTGCACTCCTGCCCGCGTCAGCACTGACACCTGGGTTTCCATGCGGCCGGAACGGGCACCAGTAGATGCATGAGAATGGATGTGCCTGTGCCCAAGGCTGTAGCCACAAGCACACCCACGTCTACAAGAGCCAGCACACAGGCGTAAACATGTGGGTACCTATTCTTTTCAGCACTTTGGAGTCAAGAGACCACTGCCAATCCTGCTTCCCCAGCCTGGGACAGAACCAGCGTATGTGGAAGACCCAGCGCCTCGGAAGGCTGCCCTCCCCAAAGATGTCTCCTGCATGGACTGTCCCCTCATCCCTTTGGTTCCCCCACTAGCTCCGCCTGCAGAGGTACCAGACCCAGGAACAGTTCCTCCATCCATGGGCAAAGGAGCTGAGGGCAGCCAAGCAGCAGGGGCCACCATGTCCCTCTAACTCTATGCACGGGCACAATGCATACCCTTTGACCCTGAGGAATACGGAGCAGGAGCATCTGCTCAGCCCTCCCACGGGAGCCCAAGGACTGGGGCTGATCCAGGCAGGACCAGGCAGGGACTGGGCTGGGCCAGGCACCTCGCCATCACCTGGTGAGTGGTTCCTACCTGTGCAGGGAGGATAGGACGAGCACAGGAGGCGCATTTTGGTGCAAAGACCCTAGGAAAATAAAGAAAACCAGAAGCGGCCAGCTGAGTAATCAGAGGTCAAGGGCACAGGGCAGGCCCACCCCCAGGACAGTGCCCAAGCGTCAGGCCCCCTTTCCTTCTGTGGACACCCTGGGGTGGGGGCAACTTCTGCCATGCTTTCTTGGCACCGGCCTTTCATCTGGCTCTCCAAGTCACCTCCACTTGATTACCTCCACCAGGATGGCTTCAGGCCCATTCAACCTTCTTCCTCACACTTCCTGCAAGATCCCTGCCCACTAATGTCCAGATTTGGGCTGCCCTCTAACTGAGATGCCTGCAAAGCCTGACTCCATGCTGAGTACCAAGGATCTATGCCAGGTACTGACCCCATCCAAGGCAGCAACATAGGACCAGAGCTCCAGGGCCTGAGCCTGGAGTCACAGCAAGGGAGAACAGAGTGGCTGCTCACATGGGGACTGGACGGGCAGAGACCCCAACCCCCATCCCAGGCAGAAGAGGCCTGGCCCCCCCAAGCAGACCTTTAGATGCCAGGTGGGGCAGTAAGGGAAGTCCCTACCACTAGGAGGGGGGAGCATGCAGGCAAAGGTGGCAAGAACAAAGAGATGGGTGGTGGCTGAACCACCTGAGAGAGGGAGCTCAAGACAGAGATCTGTGCCTTGTGCCTTGACCCAACTGCTGAGCACACAAGGGGAGGCCGGAAGTGAACAGATCAAGAATGAGAACACAGTCAAGCCAGGAAAATGTTTCCAGGGAAGGCAGAAGAAATGGTGGGAGTCATGCCTGCTCCGCATGCAGCTACTCACGTGTGATAGTCTCTGACGCAGTAGATGTTATTCTCCACATCCACGGTGAAGGGCACCCCATCCAGGCACTCGTTGCACACGGAGCACCGGAAGCAGCCTGGGTGATAGGACTTCCCAAGGGCCTGGAGGATCTGGGGGTGAGAGGCCCTGAAGGGTCAGTGCGGGTGGCAGGCTCAGTCAGCACAGCCCCCGGAACAGGCTCAGGCTCCAAGCCCCTGGCAGGTCTGAACAGGTGAAAAGGGTGGGGGCCTGAGTTCACCCCTGCCAGAGAGGCCCCAGGAGGCTGGGGGAGGCTCTCACCATCTCCATGATGAGGTGTCCACACACGCTGCACTTATCAGCCGTCTGCTGGAACCCGGAGTACTGGCAGGAGACACAGGGTCCAGGAGGTTACGTGACAAAGGGGCACTCACTGCCCAGCCAGCAGCTGGCTCCTGGCCTCAGGTGTGCATGGGAATCCAGAGGGACCCTGCCCCTTTGACTCACCAGGAAGTCCTCCTGGCAGTACACTTTCTCGCCCACATTGTAGAACGCCTTCCCACGAAGTCGTCTCCCTGCAAGGACGGGGGTCGAGAGGGGTCCCTGGGCTGCTGGAGACCAGGGATGGGTCCCTGCTGCCACTTCTCAGCACCCTCCTCCAACAGACGAGACACGGGTTATGGACAATTTTGTAAATTTCCCTTTAATGCTATCTTATCATTATACTAATTTTTTTAATTTACTTTTCAATTACAACTGACATACAATATTCATTTAGGGTGTACAACACAGTGATTAAATATTTAAATGACCTATGAAGCGATCCCCCCAGTAAGTACAGTGCCCATCTGACATCATACAATATCGTTGACTGTATTCCCTAAGCTGTATTTTCCATCTGCAACTCTTCTGTACTTCTTAATCCCTCCATCTTTTCCACCCAGCCTCCTCAACCCCCTCCCACACGGCAACCAGCAGTCTGTTGTCTGTGTTGATGAGTCTGTTTCTGTTTGGTTTGTTCTTTTTTTTTAATACCCCACATATATATGAGATCACCTGTTGTCTTTTCTGGTTTATTTCACTTGGTATAATGCCCCCTAGATCCATCCATGTTGTTACAAATGGTAAGATTTCGTTCTTTTTACAGCCAAGTATTTTAGTGTATGTATGTACCACAGCTTCTTTATTCAACCATCTACTGACAGACACTTGGGCTGCTGTGTGTCTTGGCCATTGCAGATAATGCTGCATATAAAATAACCACAGAAATGCATGGATCTTGTTGAATGACTGTTTTTGGATTCTTTGGATAAATACTCAGAAGTGGAATCGCTAGTTCATAAGGTAATTGTACTTTTAATTTTTTGAGGTAACTCCATACTGCTTTCCACAGTGGCTGCATTCCCACCAACAGTACACGAGGGCTCCCTTCCCTCTGCATCCTCACCAGCTCTGGTGTGTTGATTTATTGATGGTAGCCATTCTGACAGGTGTGAGGTGGTATCTCACTGTGGTGTTAATTGGCACTTTCCCGATTATTAGTGCTGTTAAGCATCTTTTCATATAGTAAGTAATAAAAATTAAATAGAACATGTTGTCAGCAGAATTATTGTAAGAGGTTGCCAAATATTTGAAGTATTTTAAATGTATATTGATGTTCTAATTTTTTTTAAAAAATCACATTTACTTCAGTGAAACTGAGAACACTTTTCAGAATGAATTTCCTTACTCCATAAACATCAGAAATACAACTCTGACCAGGTGAGGGAGCTGAACAGGAAAGAGGCATCCTTGTCAAAACAGCACCCCCAACAGCTGTGAGAAGCATCCCCATGAGAGTCAGGAAGACTCAGCCCCTAACCAGCAACATGAGGGCGCCTCCTTCACCTGGTGAGGGGCATCCATGCAAACCCACAGCTGACACCAGGCACGATGGTGAAACAGTAAATGCTTCTCCACTTAGGGCTCAACACTGGCCACACACGGTGCAAAAATAAGACAAGGAGATATTTTTTTAATCGGGAAGGAAAAGTAAGACTATTTATTTTTAGAGAGGGGAAGACAGGGAGAAAAAGAGGGAGAGAAACATTAATGTGTGGTTGCCTCTCACATGCCCCCACAACTGGGGACCTGGCCCACAACTCAGCATGTGCCCTGACTGGGATCAAACCAGCAACCCTGTGGTTTGTAGGCCAGCACTCAAACCACTGAGCCACACCAGCCAGGGCAAGTAATACTACTTTTAAACACAGATGACATGATTGTATTATGTAGAAAATTATAATGAATCTTGAGAAAACTACTAGAATAGCCCTGGCTGGTGTAGCTCAGTGGATTGAGCTCTGGGCTACAAAGCAGAGGGTCACTGGTTCAATTCCCAGTCAGGGCACATGCCTGGGTGGCAGGCCAGGTTCCCAGTGTGTGGAGCATGAGAGGCAACCACATGTTTCTCCCCCTCTCTTTCTCCCTCCCTTCCCCTCTGTCTAAAAATAAATAAGTAAAACCTTAAAAAACAAAAAAATAAAAAAAAATACTAGAATAAGTGAGTTTATCAAGGTTGTAGAATAGGTGAACAGCATATAAAAACCCAACATATTTTTATATGCTAGCAACAAATGATTGGAAAACAAACTTATAATTTTTAAAACTGCCCTTATAATGGTATCCAAAAAAATCCATAAGGGATAAACTTAATGGAAGACATGTCTGACCTCACTCTGAAAAACCAAACTTTGCTGAGAGGAACTGTAAAAGACCTACATAAAAAGAGAATACCACTGCCGGAATACAGCTCTCCGCTGGGTTTCTCCCAGTTCTGCGCATTGTACAAACCAAGGGCTGGCAGCTTTCATTCTGGATTATCTTTCCATGGACATCTGTGGAGCAAACTGCTTAGAAGGCAGAGATATAGCATCTTCCTCTGAAGCAGAGGTCAGGTTTGTCTGCTGTCCAGGATAATAAAGATGTGCTCCTCCAGGGCAAGGGTCAGAGAGCTTTGCTGGCAGCCCTTTATAAAATACTGGAGTTCCCTAAGCTCAGGGATCCTCAGCCCTGACACACGCCCACTGTGTATCCAGCATCCACACAGGCCACCTCATGCCACCCCTGCGGGGCTCAGGAGGGCAGGCAGGATGCAAACAGGGCACACACGCAGCCTGTGGTGCTGAGCCTCTGCCTGGTCAGCTCACGTCTTCAGTCAGCATCCGCACAAATGGTGGCAGCTGACTTGTCACAGACCCTGCACAGTTCCTGACAACCATCTTCATGGCTTCATATGTGCTGGTATCAATTCTCCTCAAATTGATCTATACATTCAATGCTGCCCAATCAAAATGCCAGCACTCATGGGGGTAGTGGGGGGAGGAAGATTGATATGCCAATTTCGAAATTTATATACAAATATAAAGAGTAGCCCTGGTTGGTATGACTCAATGGATTGAGTGCCGGCCTTCGAACCAAAGGGTCACTGGTTCGATTCCTAGTCAGGGCACATGCCTGGGTTGTGGGCCAGGTCCCTGGTAGGGGGCATATGAGAGGCAACCACACATTGATGTTTCTCTCCATCTCTTTCTCCCTCTCTTCCCCTCTCTCTGGAAATAAATAAAATCTTTAAAAAAACCACACAGAATAACTAAAATATCTTGAAAAAGATCAACAAAATGTAAAGACTTACACTACCTCCTATTGTAAGATTTACAGTAATCAAGATAGTGTAATAATATTGGGACAAGGACAGACAAAAAGATCACTGGAACAGAACAGAGTCCAAAAGTAGACCCATAAATATTTCAGCAAACACACAAGTGGGAAAGCAAAATCTTTTTAGCACCTAGTGCTTCACAACTGAATAACCACGTGGGAAAAAAATAAAATTCAGCCCTGATCGGCGTGGCTCAGTTAGTTGGGCATCATCCTGCAAAGCAAAAGGTCACAGGTTAAATTCCTGGTCAGGGCACATGCCTGGGTTTCAGGTTCAATCCTTGGTCAGGGCACATACAAGAAGCAACCAATGGATGTTTTTCTCTCACATCAATGTTTCTCTCCCTCTCTTTCTCCCCGCCTCATCCCCTCTCTCTAAAATAAGAAGAAGAAGAAGAAAACACTCAATTTCATACTTCATACCACACATACAAATTAATGTGAAATGGGTTATCAACCTAAACATAAAAATGAGAAAGCCAAAGCTGCTGGAAGAAAACACAGGAAACTATCTTCATGACTTAAAGGGAGACAAAAAACTTTTAAGTCATAAAAAATAGTAACTATAAAACAACAACATGAAAACAACTTGTACTCAGAGGATATATTTTTTTCCCTACAGCTAAGCAGTAAAGACAAATAACTCCCAATTTAAAAACCAAAGACTTGAACAGACTTCACAATATATGATACAAATGACCAAGAAGCAAACAAAAAGATGCTCAACCTCATTAGTTCTCAGGGAAATACAAATTAAAATCACAATGAGATACTATGCCATACCTATGTAGAATGGCTAAAATTGAAAAGACTAAAATACCAATTGACCTAGCTGACACACAGACTAACCCAACTCTCTTATACTTCCTAGTAGGAGTATAAAATGGTACAAGCCCTTTAGAAACAGTTTGCCAGTTTCTTATGAAGTTAAACATACACTTAGCCCATGACCCAGAAATTCCACTTCTTGTAACTTACCCAAGAGAAAAGAAAACATTTGTCCACAAATGACCTGTACAAGAATGTTCATAGCACAATCTAGTATCTACCAAGAGTCCAATGGATAAATAAATTGTGATATATAAATGTGGTGTATTCGTACCATAGACTCCTACTGAGCAACAAAAAAGGAGTGAGCTACGACTCCTTTAGTCCATGCAATAACATGGGAAAAAAATTGATATGCTTAGCAAAAAAAACAACCACCAAACAGTACATACTACATGCTTGTATTTATATAAAGTTCTAGGACTGACAAAACTAATCTACGGTGGTGGGAATGACACTGGTTATGTGGACTGACCGGGGAGCATACAGAGTAATTACAAAAAGCAAGAGAGAAGTTTCTAGGGTGTTTAAAATTTTCAATCCCTGGCTAGTGTGGCTCAGTTTGTTGGAGAGTCATCCTGTGCACTGAAAAACTGTGGGTTCAATTTCTGGTCAGGGCACATACCTAGGTTACAGGTTCGATCCCCAGTCAGGGCATGTACAGGAGGCAACCAATCAATGTTTCTCCGTGTCTCTGTGTGTGTGTGTGTGTGTGTGTCTCTCTCTCCATCCTTCCCTCTCTTCCTCCCTCCCTCCCCTCACCCCTTCTCTCTCTAAAGGCAATGAAAAAATGTCCTCGGGAAAGATTAAAAAATATTTTTTCTGTATCTTTGTTAGGGTTACATAAAAATATATACACTTATCCAAATCTTTTTACCATATACTTAGGATCTGTTTGCTGTACTATATATAAATTACACTCAATTAAAAACAAAGATAAACCTAGAACATCTTGTGCCAGAGCAAAGAAGTGCTCAAAGAATGATGGGAACATGTCAAAGGGCACAGGAGCCAACTGGAAGGGACTTCCTCCAGCCAAGTTTGAGACAATTTGTACATGAAAAAGAATGATGACTCTATTGCAATATATTGCATGAGTAAAAGTCCATGAGTATATAAGAATACTCATAAAAGAAAAAAATACATTTTCCTCCTTTAAAGTTTAAAACTTTCCTTAACAGAAAGCTTCCAAAGATTCCCTAGGAAAATGAACCTTCAACACAGACCTCGACGAACTTCCTCAGGCATACTGCCACAATCCAAAGTTACAAAACACGTGAGAAAACGAGGCATCATGACTAAGAGTAAACAATAAACCGCAGAAGCAGGACTTCAGAAGACATCAGAGACTGGGAATATTAGACGCAGAATACAGAGTGTGTGTGTTTAATAAGCTTACAAAATAAAAACTCACGTCTAAAACATGACACTACAAAGATTTGTCCTCAGGGAGAGGACATTAAAAGAAATAACTATCAACAAAGATTAATTGGACTTCATTAAGATGTCTTTTCATCAAAAGACTTCATTTTGAAAGTAATGTAGCAAGAATCAGTCAGGAAAAGAATTTACAGCCCTGATTGGTATGGATCAGTGGATTGAGTGCCAGCCTGCAAACAAAAAGGTCGCCAGTTCGAGTCCCAGTTAGGGCACATGCCTGGGTTGTGGGCAGGGTCCCCAGTGGGGGGCCCCTGAGAGGTAACCACACATTGATGTTTCTCTCCCTCTCTTTCTCTCTCCTTCTCTAAAGATAAATAAATAAAATCTTTAAAATAAAATAAAAAAGAATTTTATATATATATATATATATATATATATATATATATATATATATATATATATATATATATATATCCAACAAAGAACTTTATCCAAGATGTGTGAAGAATTCCTACAATAATGGAAAAATAAGTGTTTTTCTGCTATTGGAAAAACAGCTTCTCAGAATGATTTGACTTAACACTGGGCCTGTACCATACTTAAATAAAATAAAACACTAAAATGTTTAGTGTAAATGAATGAAAGATGTCTGCTTTGGGACAAAGCCTGAAGGGTCATCAGGAAAATCAAGAGTACAGATTTATTATGCTGGTTGAGTTATAGTTACTTTTCTCTTTTTGTAACTTTGTCTAGGTTAAATTATAACATTTACAGTTTATACTGTGTGCAAAATTCAGACAAAAAAGAATTGCATGGAAAAGAAATATTAGCCCCATATCCAAGCAGGGAAAAGGCACAGCACCTAGGCAGCCAGGAGACATCAGCACCCTACACGGCATGAAAGCTCCAAAGCCCTGGCCCAGAGAGGGAGCCTTTCTCTACGGCCAGCGAAAGGCTCCTCCCTGGCCCCACATATCTTCCCAGGGCCTTGGGCCTCTCAAACAGGCCAGGGCTAGGGAGAAAGGGGCCACCATTTAGCCTCCTCCACACTTCAGCCTAGGTCAGACCTGGGAGTCCATCTACCTGGGACTAAGGTGCAAAGCAGTTCATGGTGCCAGAGGGGCCATAAAGAGGTTACCTACCACAGGAGTCACAGGTGAAGCAGTCGGTGTGATACAGGCTCCCCATTGCCTGGCACGCTTGCCTTGCTCCATAGATGCCAAGCCCACACTTGATGCAAATGCCTATGGGCGGGAGAGGCAGGAGACAGCAGTAGTCAGCACCATGACTGTGGGGTTGGAGAGACATGCATGCAACTCCCAGTCCTAATGCTTCCCACCCGCCTGACCCTGGGCAAGTGAACTTCTCTAGGCCTCCAGCACGCAGTTACTAATGGCTAACACAGGGACAATAAAAGGGTACCCACTATGTCAGGTTTGTTGCTGCTGTTGTTTAGCAAAGCACCCGGCACAGAGTCATCCTTACGATCAAAATCATTATGACCTGTTTTTACCTAGAAAGTTATTCTGAACCCCTTCCCCCATGACCTGCTCTTGGACTAGGGAAAAGTCCTTTCTTCTGTCTACGATCCAGAAGGAATGAAGACCACACAGTCACAGACAGGGCAGAGTCACTGACCTGCCCCAGCCACACTGTTCTCATCTGTACCCTAAGGTTCACTTATTCTCTTGTCAGTCGGCACATCGACAGCGATGGCCTGCCACACGCCCTGCACACTTAAGTGCCGGAGAGTCTACAATGCACCAATCAAGTTCCCACCCTCAGGGGCTTGTATTCCAGTGGAGGGAGACAGAAAACACATAGCACCTCAGGAGGAAGCAAGTGCTATGGAGGAAAATAAAGCTGATTAAAAACAAGTCTGAGTATGTGATTTTTAAGCAGGGCATCTGGGATTGCTAGGTGGAATCAGAGACCACTCTAGCATAGGGTGGGGTACCCAGCAGGCAGGGGAGGGGTAGCAAGGAATGCCAGGGCAAAATTTGGTACTGGCCCTAGAGGACTCCCTGACCAGTGCTCCTGGACACCCAGCCCATAGGTGGCCAGGTCACACATCAGAAATGCCCTTCTCAGAGCTACCCAGGGGGTCCCACTCCACCTGCCTGGTGGACCCGAACCTGGCTGCTCTAGGGCCTGCTACCCTCACCCTCTCCCTCCTGCTTTCTACCAGATCTCTCTCCTTAATATTTAACCATGGTCAAGCCTCTTCCATCTTAAAAAGTCCCTCTCCCTCCATCAGCCACCCCGTTTCCCTCCTTCCCTCAGTCAAGAAAGCAAGCATAGTCTGCACTTGGCCATCTCCTAACTGCAAATCCATGACTTGCCGTTTGGACAATGCTACAAGGGATCCTCTCCTCTTTGGTTTCCAGGACATGACCTGCACCTGGTTCCTCACCCTTCCCAGATCGGGTTTTCTCCTACTCTGTCTTGGGTCACCCATGACTGTTCCCCCAGGGCTTAGGAGGACCAGATCATTCACTCTGAAACCCAGGCAGGAAGGTAGAGGTGGCTGGTGGTGACCCAGGTGAATGGAGAAGACAGTCATGACCGCCAGAAGTCAGGGTTTTGTTTTTTTTTAATGAAAGATCCTTGTCCATACTTATAACCAAAGGACAAGGGCAGTGGAAAGAGGGAAGCTGAAGGTGTGGTTGGAGACAGAAGGACCCTTGTCCTCAGATCTGGATGTGGACTGAGAACCCATGGGGAAAAGAACAGGAAGCCACTGGGGAAGACAGCTGCTGACCTCAACTTTCTCAGACAAGTACAAAAGGCAGGGCTGAAGGACAGAGGAATGTTGCTGGAGGAACACAAGAGAGAACTGACCAAGGCTTAGGGTGGTGGACGGCACCTAGAAGAACAGAAGACCATCACCCCGGCCCCTGGTGTGCAGCAAAACTACAGGCTGCAGCACTGACTTGGAGTCGAGTTCCACAGGGCAGACAGCAATGAGAGGAATCAGAGGTAGTAGTGAGACAGATGCCACAGTCAGAACTGAAGACTACAGAAGGGCAGCCAAAACAGGGTATGGCTCTGGGAGTCAGTGGCTGAGGAGAAGGCAGAGAGGTCACCAAACTTAAAGAGGTTACAGAAACCTGAGGCTGCTGGCTGGCTAATGGCAATGGAACTTGGTGAGGAGAGATGGGAAAGTTCCCAAGACACCAATGAATGGCAGAAGGACCAGGAAGGAAGTCAGCTGGTGCCAGAGTCAAGGAGGAAGGAATGGCAGAGAGAGGAAGACACCCACCCTGAGAATGAGGTTTGCTACAAATCATTTGGGCTCAGATTACCTGCAGACTTCCTTGTGTAAAATGTATTATTCAGGTTGAATCACATGAAATTGCCACTTTTATAGTTCTAAAATGTAAAATATCAGCCATTCAAGCAAATAGTTGACTGTATTTTTAAAATCAGAAACCTGTTACCTAAATCCAGCTTCTCTTGAAAACAAAGATCTGTCATCACTCACCTCCCCCTTCCACTGTTTCGGCAGGCTGGAACTAAGCAGCAGCTCCCTTTACTAGAAAGGCTGACCCACTCCCTCCCCACTGTGGTCTTGTGTGTTGAGCCCCTTCACTTCTCCCATTACCTGCCTGCGTCTGGCCACTTAATCTTCACACAAAGATTCATTTGGAGCTGCAGAAGCCCACAGAACACACCCCCACCAGGTTCTGTGGTAGGTAGGGGCAGGAAAATGCACAGCCTTTTGTGCACAGAGCAATGAAAAGTCTTTCTCTTCAGAAGACAGCTTTTGCTCCTGCACCAGCCAGGCACAAGAGGCAGCAACTTCCTAAACTCATCACCCTGCTTCTAGGAGAAGCCACAGCAGTCACACCAGACATTCTCATCATATTGCTCCCAGATGAGCCTGAAACCCTTCTGCATCTCCCCTTCCAAAAGCAGCCCCATACACCCCCTTGACCACCTGATCCCTCCTGGGCTGCAACCCCGGAGAATGTAGTGGGACAATCTACATCTTTACTTGCCCTGCCTCCTTTTGCCCCCATTCCTTCCTCTACCTGAAATGCCCCCATCTGACCTGTCACATACAGCCTCCTCCTCCCTCATGATCCAGTTCTGGATTCCTGAGCTGCTAGCAGGAATGAATGCACGAAACCCCAGACAGCCTCAGTCCCTGGCCAGGATAACCACCAGCCAGCTCCGCCGCCTCACCAGCCGCCCCCCTCCCCTTCCCCCCACCAAAGCTGGGTTCCTCAGCTTTCCTACTTATCAGTGAGGGAGGGAAGGAAACCCCCTCCCCAGGCCTCTTCTAAGAACCTCAAGCTTTAAGAGTCCTAAGAGTTGTCCAAAGGACTAATGGAGATCTGTGTGGACCAGGCTCAGACTTGGAAAGGGAGACTGTCAAAAACCGGTGAGCTTTACAAATGCTGTCAAGCAGGATTCCCTTTGGAAACATCCCATGTACAAAGCGCAGCCCGGAGAGAGGAAAGCCCGTTGTGACAGACTTGGTCCCCCTCCCCTCCCTTCCCCCTCAAGGTGGACTCTTCCTCCCTCACCACTCTACCTCCAACAGCTACCATCTCAGGTCAGGTCAGGTGGGGCCTGAGGTCAGGCGGGTCTGCTGGTACCTGAACCAATCCACCACCCGGTCTCCACAACCTATACTGCTGGGGTGGGGAAACACCGAGAGGGCTGGGGCCCTACACAGCTTAGGCCAACCCTGGTCACAAATCATCGAGTGGGATGAACAGAGGCAAGTGCCAAGGGTTAAGAAAAAAATTATCCGGAAATGGCTTGTTCAGCCTATTAACACGACTTTTCCTCTCAGTTAGGTTAAGGGCTTCAACTCATTTTCTCAGAACCCCTGTCCGGTGGCATGACCTAGAGAAGAGGCCAGCGATTCACACTCACACTCCTACGAAACACACCGCCGAGTCCCCCTCCTCATCCCGGCCCTCGACAGCGACAGCGCCAGCCCCAGGCCACCCAAGCCTGTCCTCCGCCAAGCCGGCCACCACTCTGCCGCCGTCAAGACCCGCTCACCGAAGTAGTCCCGCGCCGTTCGCACTTCCAGTGCCCGCTCCAGCTCTCGCGTCAACGCCTCTAGCCGCCGCTCCGCTGCGCTCGGGCCGGCCTCTCGGCCCAGGGGCAGCGGGAGCGAAGGCAGAGGGAAGGTGGCCGGCCCAGCAGGCTCCGGGGAGCGAGTCCGCGCGGGGCCGGGGCCGGGGCCGGCACCGGGCAGGAGCACATCGGCGTAAGCGCCGGCGGAGCCGCGGGAACCCAGACTGGACACACTGGAGCGGGCGCTGCCCACCGACGGCGGCCCGGGGCCGGGACGCGGGTCCGTGCTGCCGGAGCGTGGACTGCCGTGGCGCTGGTCGTAGCCCAGACTGATGCCGCTGGAGCGGGCGCTGCCACCGCTGCCGTCAAAGCCCGCCAGGCTGGTCCGCGGGCTGCCCGCTGGCTTCGCGCTCAGCTCGGGAGCCCCCACGCGCCTCGGGCCGCGCTCACCACGGCTCAGTCCGTCCACCCCGGCCTCGGGGCCGCTGGCGCCGCCCTTCCCTCGGCGGCCCAGCGCCGGCGCCACCTCGTCTCCAGGCCCCGGCCGCGGCCCCTGCCGACCCCGGCCCGGAGAGTCACCGCATGGCTGCAGCTCCCGCAGGGCCAGCCCAGTCAGGAGCAGAGCCGCCTCGTCCTCAGCCGCCCGAGAACGCTGCATGGCCCGGCCCGCCGGCCCTCGCGCGTCACCTCCGCCTCTGCTTCCCGCCGCTGGTCCGGCTGCGCCGCTGCATCGTCCGCCCGAACCCGGAGCCCGCCCCGGGACCCCTGGGCGCGGGGCGGGGCCAGCGCCGGGCCGGGGTCGCTCGGCAAGCCACGCAGTCCGGGGACCGCTGCGCTCCGCTCACTGGCGCGAGGCGGAGGAATGTGCGCGCTCTGACGTTCTGGGCCGCGCCCCCTCCTCCCGCGGCTGCGTGGGGGCGGAGGGACTCCTTTGTGGGAGCAGGAATGCGAGGAAGGAGACGGCGCTGCGGCCTCTGGAATGTGGGGGAGTGGCGGCGGCTGCTGCGGCTCCGGGAAAGCGAAGGGGCACGGAGGCCCGAGTGCGACACTTCTCAGAGCTGGCTTGGGGTGGCTGGCCGCTCTCGTGCGCCCAGACTGTTGTTCCTACGGAAAGATGCACGCGGGCCGAGCTGGAGGTGGCTCCCGCAGTCCCGGCCAGAGAAATAGGAGCAGCTGACAAACGTTTCCCACATCTTCCCTCTTCTTACTTCCCAGTGCCGCCACACTTTCAGGTTCTTGGTCTTCAGCTGAAGCGCTGCGCCGGATCCAGGACTCTGGAGAACACTGTGCTGGAGCAAATGCATCCCCAGGACCTCGCATGACCCCACGACCCCCAGCTGTCCCTGGGCCATATGGTTGCTCACAGGTTTCAGGAGCCCGCACCTATCTTGTAGGGAAAGCGCCTAGTGCTAGGTGCCGGGGTTGGTTAGGGAATGGTCCTTGAGCCTGGTCGCTATGCGCAGGCCTCCAGACCAAGCCAGGCCGAAGCAAACTTCAGGCGGAGCTAGTGGACTGGTGAGCCTCAGCTGTGACCACCACCTGTAGTCACCAAAAGATGCGAGGACTCCCTGTTTTTCCAGCATCTGCCCTCAAGGTCTTGGGTTAGGTACCAAGGGGATGCTCTTGAAATCACTTGGGCCACCACAGGTCCTGAGAAGAGGTAGGGCCTTGGGGACCACATGGTGGGGGGGGAGGAAGAGAGGTGACTAGGGCTTTGTCCCAAAACACACAAGCTTCAAAGCCCTTGTCATACATTTCAAACAACTTGTCAGGAAGAGAAGCAAACCATTCTTTACTTGTCAGGACCTGGTGGATTAGGAAAACAACCTTGAGTGGATGAGTTCCCTTTCCCAGCCATCTCCCAGAGAATTCCAGCAAGGCACCCACAGTGTCTTGGGGAGCAGGGAGCCTGGACTACGAGTTGTCTGGGTGCAGAATGACCAGAATATGAGGCCTGAACACTGCTAGGAGTCGGCTGTGGCCCATTCCCCTCAGCTGGCAGTGTCTGACCCAGCTGCCCCTCCCCAGTCCCTGTCAGCTTGCAGAATGACTCCCAGCCACTGACATTGACTCCCAGCCCTCCTGCTCTGGGGGAGTAATTATCCAGAGAAGTTATCTAATGAAAAGTTATCTGAGAAAGGAAAAACAAATTAAATAAACAGTGAGATACCACATTTCACATCATCTCCCATTTTAAAAGTGCAAATTTTTCCCCGGCTGGTGTGGCTCAGTGGATTGAGCACCAGCCTGTGAAACAAAGGTTGCAAATTCGATTCCCAATCAGGGCACATGCCTGGGTTGTGGGCCAGGTCCCCAGTAGGGGGTGTGTGAGAGGCAGGCACACCTTGATGTTTCTTTCTTTCTCCCTCCCTTCCCTTCTCTCTAAAACTAAATAAAATCTTTTAAAAAATGGAAATTTTGACAAGACCGGTGAAACATGACTATATTTTACTGGTAGGAGTGGAAGTTGGTATATCCTGTCAGAAAGAGCAGTTTGGTGGTATGAACATCCTCACAAGTGAAAACTCTTGAGACTTCCGGCCAAGATGGAGGCATAGATAGACACACTGTGCCTCCTCACACAACCAAGATAGGGATGACAACAATTTAGAAACAATAACAACCAGAACTGACAGAAAATTGAACTGTATGGAAGTCGAACAACCAAGAAGTTAAAATAGACACGTTCGTCCAGACCGGTAGGAGGGGCAGAGTCAGGCAGCCAGGCGCCGGTCGTGGCATGGAGAGCAGAGAGCGTCGGGACCAGGTACATAAGGCATCTGGGGTGCACAAGACCACACCGGGCAGACCCTGGGTGTGCAAGCGGTGGCTGGCAAATCCTGGCCGAGGGGTGGCAGCCTGCAGACCCAACGAGGCAGCAATTGTGAAGCAAGGCACTGAGAACAACCCAGGATCACAGCTCTGGGAAATAGAGCCTTGGGGCACTGATTGAAAACACCTGTGGGGGTTGAGGCGTAGGGAGAGACACCCAGCCTCACAGGAGAATATGTGGGAAAGTCCCACAGGGTGCACAAGCCCACCCACATGGGAATTAGCACCAGAGGGACCAGTTTGCTCTGGGGAAGCAGCAAGAGAGATTGAGGTCTGAGGGAGAGCAGAGCAAGCGCCATTATTCCCTCTCGGACCCCGCCTCCACACACAACGTCACAACCCAGCAACTGAGGTGGCCCTCTCTGGTGAACACCAAAGGCTCCACCCTTCACACATAACAGGAGTCAAAAACAAAGGGTTGGGGGGGAGGGAAGATGACTCAAACAGAATAAAAGCCCCACATCCAGTACTTTTAAGCGACTGAGAGATAGCCAGCCTATCAGATGCACAATTCAAAGCACTGGTGATCAGGATGCTCACAGAATTGGTAGATTTTGGTCACAAATTAGATGAAAAAATGAAGGCTACAATAAGTGAAGAAAAATGCACACAGAACCAATAGTGATGGAATGAAAGCTGAGTCTCAAATCAATGGAGTGGACCAGAAGGAAGAAAAAAACATACAATCAGAAAAGAATGAAAAAATAAGAATTAAAAAAAATGAGGAGAGGCTTAGGAACCTCCAGGACATCTTTAAACATTCCAACATCCGAATTATAGGGGTACCAGAAGGGGAAGAGGAAGAACAACAGATTGAAAACATATTTGAACAAATAATAAAGGAGAACTTCCCCATTCTGGCAAAGGAAATAGACTTCCAGGAAGTCCAGGAAGCTCAGAGAGTCCCAAAGAAGTTGGACCCAAGGAGGAACACACCAAGGCACATCATAATTACATTAGCCAAGGAAAAATGAAGGAGAGAATCCTAGAAGCAGCAAGAGATAAGGGGACAGTCACCTACAAAGGAGTTCCCATAAGACCGTCAGCTGGTTTCTCAAAAGAGACCTTGCAGGCAAGAAGGGGCTGGAAAGAAGTACTCCAAGTCATGAAAGGCAAGGACCTACATCCAAGATTGCTCTATCTAGCAAAGCTTTCATTTAGAGTGGAAGGGCAGATAAAGTGCTTCCCAGATAAGGTCAAGTTAAAGGAGTTCATCATCACCAAGCCTGTATTTTATGAAATGTTAAAGGGACTTATCTAAGAAAAGGAAGATAAAAAAATATGTATAGTAAAATGACAGCAAACACAATCATTAACAACCACACCTAAAACAAAAACAAAAAGAAACTAAGCAAAAAACTAGAAGAATAGAATCAGAAATGGAGATCACATGGAGGGTTAGCAACAGGGGGGTGGGAGGAGGAGAGAGGGGGAAAAGGTACAGAGAATAAGTAACATAGATGGTAGGTAGAAAATAGACAGGAGGAGGGCAAGAATAGTATGGGAAATGTAGAAGCTAAAGAACTTATGACACATGGACATGAACTGAAGGGGGAGAAATGTGGGTGGAAGAGCATGTGCAGGGTGGAGGGGAATGAAGGAGGGGTAATGGGACAACTGTAATAGCATAATCAATAAAATATATAAAAAAAACTCTTATAAGCAGTAGTGCTCCAAGAATCTATTCTATGGAATAATGCAAAATGCAGGTAACAGTGTAAGCAAAAAGTGTTTATTGCATTATTTATGTAATCAATACAATCCTATGATATCCAGCCTTCTGAAGAGGAGATCAGAAGGAGCTCTCTGCCCTCAAATGTACTTCTTAAATAACTGTTCCATTCCCCCATGTCCCACTTAAAGCTTCCAAGATTTAAACAATATATTGGAGCCCCAGGTCAGCTAAAACGCATTACTCTAATAATAATAAATAACAAGAACAACACACAGTCAGAAACAGAAACAACCCAAAATAGTTTGTTTGCTGTCTCACTTCCGACCATCTTGGTGGCTGTTCCTGGTTGGGGGCCATCCCACATCTAAAAGAGGAAAATGGTGGCTGCAAAGAAGATGAAAACACAGGAGTCAATCACCTCTAGGCTCCAACTGGTTATGAAAGTGGAGAGTACTACTGGGGTACAAGCAGACAATGAAGATGATCAGACTAAGCAAAGCTTTGACCAGATCAGATGTAGTCATGCTGGATAATATCTACCCTGCCTTGAGGGAATCTGAAATACAGCATCACCCCATGTTGACCAAAACTAGTGTCCATCATAAGCGTGGCAATAATACTGACTTGGGAACAGTGTATAGAAAATACTACAGAGTATGCATGCAACTAAAAAACAGGTCCAGCTGCCAGCGACTATGGAAGCCAATAGTCGAGAGGCAGGTGCTAATGAAAAGGAATGTGGTTTATTTGCAGGTGCTGGCCATCTGGAAGATGGGGGATTCATGTCACAAAGCCCACCTCCACCTCTCATTGGAGGCCCAGGTTATTATAATGAGGGAGAGGGGAACAGAATAGAGATTGAAGGAGAGGGTTGAAAAGCTCTGTATGTGCAGATAAGCACAGTCCATTCTAAGGCAAGTGATCCAGTGTGCATCATCCTGGTTTAGTCCTCCTGGTGTCACATCATCCTGGCTTCACTTCATCCTGGTTTCATGGATGAAGGTCAGCAAATCTCCCAGAGCTGGAGTGCCTGAAGGTCAAAGCCTGTATCTTTTCAAGTTAGTTCCTAGGATTCTTATATAAACATGCTGTTCATTTACAAGCTACATATTAGTCAGAGTTAGCACTTACAGAAACAATATAAAAAAATAATGGGGTGGGTTACAATGTCCCACCATCACAATTTTCCACTATTACATGCAACTGGCTGTCATTGATCCAGGTAATTCTGATGTAATTAGAAGCATAACAGAACAGACTGATGAAGAGTAAATTATGCAAAATTTGTCTTCAATAAAATTGGCCAGAACTCATTTAAATCAATAAAACATTAATTGTTCAACATTAGAGCAAAGTACTTCCATAAAGTGGGAAGTACATTAGGCAATGA